TTTCCAGTATTGCAGGGCAAGGCTTCCACTAGGGTCAGGCGGCCAAGGATGGGCAAGGGAATTAAGGACAGAATGCAAATCCCTAAGTACAGACAAACCTAGCTTCAGAAAATATCCACTTATATAATTAATTATGGAATCTATAAGTAAATAGCAAGTACTATGAGGGCAATACGAGCATTAAATTTTTTTAATGTTTATTTTTGAGAGAGAGAGAGAGAGAGAGAGAGAGAGAGAGAGAGAGAGAGAAAGAGACAGAGCATAAGTGGGGGAGAGGCAAAGAGAGAGGGAGACACAGAATCCAAAGCAGGCTCCAGGCTCCCAAGCTGTCAGCCCAGAGCCCAATGTGGGACTTGAACTCACAAACCTGAGTTTGTGACCTGGGCTCATGACCTGAGCCCAAGTCCTATACTTAACCCACTGAGCCACCCAGGTGCCCCAATACAAGCATTTTTCCCAATAAGGTTGTCTGCTCACCAGCTGATTACCAGTCAAGTTCTACGAACTCCCGCCTCTGGGTTGTGTGACTATGGGCTCTAATCATGATACACTGCTTCACCTTTAAAAAAATAATTGAGAAAAGGAAAATAGTGCAAGGATAAATAAGATGGGGCCAGGGATAAAATGAGATTACAAGTTGTCTACTGTAAATTCCTATGTATTGGCAAAATGTAGCTCACAATTTGGCTCTGAAAAGCCTCAGCAGCCAACGCAAGAGGAAAACAAGATCAGTTACATGATATGCAATGTAACTTGGGTAAAATCAAACTATTAATAGTAGCTTAGGAGAAATCCAGCTATTCTTGATACTAAGTGGGAAGAGAAATTTCCCATGAGTACCCTAGGAAAGGGCTATGTGACATAGTGGATGGTATTTTAAGATCTCTATAATAAATAAAATTAATGGATTTTAATTCCTCTTAATGTTAGCTGATGGCAGGTACCAAAGCACAATTCAAGAGAACCAATTCTTTAAGAAACAAAACAGGTGAACATAGGGGAAACGGAAAAAAGAGAGAGAGGGAGGCAAACCGTAAGAGACTCTTGACTCTAGAGAACAAAGGAAGGGTTGCTGAAGGGGAGGTGGGTGGGGGATGGGCTAAATGGGTAATGGGTATTAAGGAGGGCACTGGTGATGAGCACTGGGTGCTGCATCTAAGTGATGAATCACTAAGTTCTACTCCTGAAACTAACATTGCACTATATGTTAACTAACTAAATTTTAAATAAAAATTTGAAATATTAAAAATAGCTAATTCTGTGAAGGAAGAAAAGAGTATATAGTTTAAGTATTCAGCTCTCTGAAGGTCTAGTTTAATATAAAGACAAAATTCAAAGTGCATAAAGCAGCACTTTCTAGACCTTTTACTGTGCCATGCAGGCTGATCGTTATGTGAAAAGTCCATTTCCAGTACTAACTGGATCATCACCCTTTTCTCTCTTCTTCATAGTATCTTATTGTGGTATATGGCAAAAATGGCCAAAAAAGTAAAACAAAACGTATAGGAATAGACTTTGCAGTTTATCCCTTCTAGAAGTGGAGTCTATTTCCCCACCCTTTGGATTTGGGCTGCTCTTGTGGCTTGCTTTGACCAACAGAAGTGACACCGTGTGAGTTTCAAGCCTGGATATCAAGAACTTTTGCAACTTCTGGTTTCTGCTTTTGTAACCTGCCACCACCAAGTGAGGAAGTATGAGCTAAGCTGCTGGGTGATGGGAAACGTGTGGCCTAAATGCCTCCTAGCACTCCAAGTGACAATCATCTAATCCCCAGGAGAACTGCTTACCTCACACTGGCAGCTGAACACAGACAAAAAGAAGGAGCCCAGCAGAAAAGCCAGCCAGGTAAGTCTGGACCAAATCGTCAGCCCACAGAGTCATAAGCAAAATAAGTGGTTCCTTTTTTAGGTCGCTAAGTTTGGGGTTGTTTGTTACACAACAAAAACTAACAGACAAACTTTTAAAAGCCAGTGCAACCCAATTCACAATATTAACAACAACAAAAAAGATAAAACACTTAAGAATAAACATAACTATGTGCAAAATCATGAAGAAAACTTTAAAACACTCCAAAAGGATCCACAATTAGGTTTTTTTCCACAAATGGAAAAACATACCATGTTCTTGGATAGGAAAACCAACTTTATAAGAATGTCAATTCTCCCTGGGGTACCTGGGTGGCTCAGTTGGTTAAGTGCCTGACTCTTGATTTTGGCTCAGGTCATGATTTCATGGTTCGTGAGATGGAGCCCCTTATAGGGCTCTGTGCTGAAAACACGGAGCCTACTTGGAATTCTCTCTCTCCCTCTCTCTCTCTGCCCCTCTCCTGCTTGTGCTCACACACTTGCTCTCTCTAAAAAGTAAATAAATTTTTTTAAAAAGGGAAAAAAAGGAACGTCAACTCTCCCTAAGTGAATACATATTAAAAATGATCCCAATACAGATTTTTTTCTGGAACTAGGAAAATTGAATCTATAGTTAATTTGGACAAGAACTAAAGAAGCAAAAATACTTTGAAGAACACAGCAGGGGGCGTTCTCTGTAAGAAATAGTAAAACCAATTATTAATGCTCAATAAATTGAAACCGCATATTATCACATGCATTGACAAATAGACCAATGCGACAGAATAGAAAATCTAGAAAGAGACCACAAAACATGAGGATTTGGTATATGATAAAGGCAGCATCACAGATCAATGGGAGGCAAAGATAGCCTTTTTCATAAATGTTGAGACAACTGGGTAATGGCTTGGAAAAAGATGAAGTTAGATCTTTACTTCACACCATACACCATAATTTTGAACGGACCAAAAGGCTCGATGTTCAAGAGTACTCAGTGTAAACGTAAAAAGTGAAACCATACAAATACTACAATCCACCAAACATACCACAGGGTCAATTTAAGCCTGATACAAAAATGAGAGATTATTAAGAAGGGCATCCTCTGGCTAGAGAAGCCCTGCATGGACGACTCCCCTTCTTCACGGGAATGAGGCGCCTCCGACGTCACTCTCCCAGCCGGGAGAGCAACCTGCTCCGCTACAACCCTCCTTCTGCGCAGAGGAGCTCAAGGAAACGCCTCCCTGCCCTCCCGCACTCTGATAAGCCCTGGAGACCAAGGCTGCAAAGAGATCCGCGGCCCTATTGGCTAGCGGGCGTGGCCCGCGCGGGGCTTCTGGGAGTTGTAGGCTCCTGGGACTCCCGGGTCTGACGTCGGAGACAGGCCCTGTGAGCTCTCCGCGGTGGTGAAGAGGTGGGTGTGTCTGGAGACCGGGTGTGGGCAGAGGCGAGGAATCAGGTGAAGAAAACGAAGGACTTAAAATTAAAGAGAAATTAGGGTTGTGGGCTCTCAGGAAGGGACGAACCTACTTCGAAGTAGGGCGCAGGGCGTTGGGGGTGGGGGAGCGCAAGTTCCATGGCCAATCAGACATTAGCAACTGTTGCCGTAGCAACCACTCTGGACAGCTAAGGCCCGGTCCCTTGCCCAGACTCCCAAGCAAAGGGGAGGAGCCCGGGCTGTTTAAATGGCTTTAGGCACAGGTGGGGAGCAGCTGGCTCCGTTTCCTCCCCGGCTCTAGCGACGCTGAACCTGCGGTTGGGTGGGCGGGGAACGGCCCCGTCCGGGGAAGTGCCCCAACTCCCCGCCGATTGGCCCACAGCCGCTCCGGGGCGGGGCCTGGGGCGGGCAGCTCCCGCCTGCTGCGAGGCGAGGACCTCCGGGATTCCTAGAGAGGACTCGGAAGTGCTCTCGGCGGTGGGATTGATGGCTCGACCCCGTTGGACAGGGAACGCTTGGACTTGCTTACTTCCGGCGAGGAAGTGTTGCGAAGTGTAGGGTTCGGTTTTCTCTCCGTTTGTAGGAAGAAACCTATCTTCCCAACCTGCTGCGAGAGCTTGGTCTTCCAGGAGAGCTCCCTGGGACTGGTGCCTTGAGGGAAGAGACTGGGTTTTGTATCCAGACGGGTATCCTGTGTCTAACCTTGACCGGCCCGTTTTCCGTGTCTTTGGGGTCAGGGGCGATTCAGAGGAATACAGGTCCCAATCTGTGCTTGTAACTCAGCTTCTCTTCGGAACCAATGAAGTCTCCTGTTGGTCCGTCATGCTCTTGTGGCATGAAGGACAGGACCAGTTTTGACCATTGTAATATTTTTGACCCGTGTTGTAAGTTTGGCTTGTAGTCAAAAGGAAAGACTGCGTCTGGACTACTTAGTAGTAAGTCTTGTCCTGTTATTTATATGAAATTTAATGCTCTTCACCATTAAAATTGTATTTGGTTAGACCTGATGTCAGAGTTTTGTTGCTCTTTACGTTTTTAAAAAATGTTTACTTGTTTATTTTGAGAGAGAGCGAGTGCATGAGCAGAGGAGGGCCAGAGAGAGAGAGGGAGTGAGAGAATCCCAAGCAGGCTCCACTCAGCTCGGAGCAGGTCGTCAGGCTCCATCTCACAATTGTGAGATCATGACCTGAACTGGAATCAAGAGTTGACACCTAACCGCTGAGCCCCCCGGGGGCCCCTCTTATTTAAGTTTTTTAAACTTAAATAGACAGCTATCTTGTCTATATTTTATTTTAACATTTTTTTTAACGTTTATTTATTTTTGAGACAGAGAGCATGAACAGGGGAGGGGCAGAGAGAGAGGGAGACACAGAATCTGAAACAGGCTTCAGGCTCTGAGCTGTCAGCACAGAGCCCGATGCGGGGCTTGAACTCATGGACCGTGAGATTATGACCTGAGCCGAAGTCGGACGCTTAACCGACTGAGCCACCCAGGCGCCCCATATCTTGTCTATATTTTAAAGTAAATTACTCTGTTGAGTGGTCATCTTTAGTAGAGATGACCTCTTTGTCATTTCTTTGCTAATAATGCTTTCTAATGTATCAGTAGGTTGCACGCTAATGAAACTGCCCTTCAGAAGATTTTAAAGAGCAGAAACCAGATTTGATACAGCTAACCTGTGTGATACAGCTAACCTGGAGAGACATCCCTCTGAGTTGGAATGATAATGACAGAGTCTGGGGAAGTTATAGACTTAGACCCTCCCGCTGAGATTTCACAGGAGCAAGAAGACCTTCTAATAGTGAAGGTGGAAGAAGAAGACTGTACCTGGATGCAAGAGTACAACCCTCCAGTGTTTGAGACTTTTTACCAGCGCTTCAGGCACTTCCAGTACCATGAGGCATCAGGCCCCCGGGAGGCCCTGAGCCAGCTCCGGGTGCTGTGCTGCGAGTGGCTGAGGCCCGAGCTGCACACCAAGGAGCAGATCCTGGAGCTTCTGGTGCTGGAGCAGTTCCTGACCATCCTACCGGAAGAGTTCCAGACCTGGGTGAGAGAACATCACCCGGAAAGTGGAGAAGAGGCCGTGGCTGTGGTAGAAAATATACAGAGAGAGCTAGAGGAACGCAGACAACAGGTGAGTGGAAGAGGAGACATTAGAGCAATGAGGAAGGAGAGGAAGAGAGTTAAGTTGCTGCTGAGCAGGGGTGAGATTCTTAGCGCTCTGGTGCTTCATTCATATTCTTTTGTTCTCCTGGGATTAGGTACACTGTGGAGATTTCCTGCCACTCCAGCAAAGAGAAGCAGTATCCAGTGTGTTAACCTGGAGAAGACAGTCTGCGATTTAACTTATTTTTAAAATTACTGTATTTATCTTTTGATTGACATGATACAAAATTCAAAAGGTGCATAAGTTTGTTATGAAAAGTAAGTTTCCTCCCGCCTCTCCTTCTCTGGCTGCCTAGTTCTCTTCAGAGGCAACCACTGTCACCTGATACCTGTATATCCTTACAGAGATCTACTTTCTTCTGTATGTATAAGTGGACGTGTGGATAATATGCTTTAAAAAGCCACAGATGTGGTTTAAATCACTGTGTACTTCTGCCTCTTGCTATTTGTTTATATCTTGGTTTGTTCCATGTTGGTGCAAACAGACCTGCCTCACTCCCAGAGACTGCTTATATTCCATCGTGTGGATGGATGTACCATAATCAAACTCCTGGTGAAGGCCATTTAAGTCATTCCTTTAGATTGTTTCTGAACGTAAATTTTGCTACAATCACTGTCCTTTATGTTCATCCTTAACTGTAGAATAATAAATGCTTAGAAGTCAGATTGTTGGCTCAGAGACGATGTGCATTTGTAATTTTGACAGCTGTTGAGAAGTTGCCCTTCAGAGAGGTTATACCAGTTTTTAGTCCCAGCTGCAGGGTGTGAGAGAAATTTTTTGCTCACAGCCTGATCCCATGATGTTGCCCAACTTTTGTCATCACCAGTCTGAAAGATGCAACATTCTACTTCTGTTAAATTTTAATATGCATTTCTCATATTATGAGTGAGTTTGACCACAGAATATGTATATGTATATATATATATACATACATACATATATATATGTATACATGTATATATACATATATATGTTTTTTAATTTTTTAAAGTTTATTCATTTTTGAGAGAGAGAGAGAGCCCAAGCAAGGGAGGGGCAGAGAGAGAGAGGGGGGCAAAGAATCCGAAGCAGGTTCCAAGCTCTGAGCTGTCAGCACAGGGCCTGATGTGGGGCTTGAACTCGAGAGCCATGAGATCGTGACCTGAGCCAACGTCGGTCACTTAACTGACTGAGCCGCCCAGGAGCCCCAACCACAGTATATATTTTAAAGGGTTACATGTGTACCCTTGTTTTTCCTTCTTGAAAATTAAGCTCTACAACAAATGTGGGGTTTGAATATGAACTTACAATGCCCAGTTCAAGAGTCACATGTTCCCCGACTGAGCCAGCCAGGCGCCCTGTGTGTATACCCTTTTTTGTGATTTATCTGTTTACATTATTTGCCTATTTGAAAAAGTAAGCACTGTGTCTGTCATCTGAGGTGCAAGTTTATTTCTCCACCTTGTTTATCTTTGCTTATGGAGACTTTTGCAGGGTTTTTTTATTTTTATGTGGTCTGTTTATATCTTTTAATTTATGGTTTCTGGGTTTTGTGCCATACTTAGAAAGGCCTTCTCCACTAAAACATCATAAGAAAATTTTCTAATAGTCTCTTCTCAAGTTAAAAAAAATTTTTTTTGGTGCATGGTGTTTGGTATGGTTACAACTTTTTTCTCCCAGATGTCTGTCCAGTTGCCCCAGCAACTTGTAGAGAAATCCCTTTTTTCCTCACTCTAATTAAAATGCTGTCTTTATTACATACCAGATTTCTGCATGCATTTGGGTCTACTCACGGCCCTTTTTTTTTTTTTTTTTTAATGTTCATTTATTTTTGAGAGAGAGAGAGCACGAGCGTGTGTGGGCACGTGTGAACAGGGGAGAGGCAGAGAGAGAAGAATGCAGAGAATCCCAAGCAGGCTCCATGCTGTCAATGCAAAGCCCTATGCAGGGCTTGAACCCATGAACCATGAGATCACAACCTGAGCCAAAATCAAGAGTTGGATGCTTAACCGACTGAGCCACCCAGGCGCCCCTGAATTTACTTATGTTCTTTTAATTGTTTTGTTGATCTTATTATCTGTTCACCTTCAGTATTTTAATTACTTGAGCTCTGTAAAGGGTTTTGATATGTGGTAGGGCTACTCTTCCTCCTTCCAAATATTTTCAATATTTTCTTTTTTCCTTATAAACTTTAGAATTACTAATGTAGTTTTCACCACTCCAAAAATCCTGTTGGGTTTTTTTTTGTTGTTGTTGGGGTTGCAGTAAATCCTATGTTAATTTAGGGAAAATCAATATCTTTATTTAAAATTTTTTCTTACATTTTTGTTTTACATTTATTTATTTTTGAGAGACAGAAACAGAGTGTGAGCAGGGGAGGGGTAGAGAGAGAGGGAGACACAGAATCCGAAGCAGGCTCCAGGCTCCTAGCTGTCAGCACAGAGCCCAATGCGGGGCTCAAACCCACGAACCATGAGATCATGACCTGAGCTGAAGTTGGACGTTTAACCGACTGAGCCACCCAGGCACTCCTAAAATATTTTTTTAATATTTATTTATTTTGAAAGCGAGAGAGAGGGAGCATAAGTGGGAAGGGGCACAGAGAGAGAGAGGGAGACACAGAATCTGAAGCAAGCTCCAGGCTCTGCACTGTTAGCACAGAGCCCGACGTGGGGCTCGAACCCACGAACCGTGAGACCCAAACCCGCGAATGGTGGTGAGACCATGACCTGAGTGGAAGTCGGACACTTAACTGAAGGAGCCACCCAGGTGCCCCTAGGGAGAATCAATACCTTTATGTTGTTACCTCTTCTTGTCTTTTCTTACTCATTTAACTTGACCCTCTACCTTCTTGTTGCTAGGGTCACACTCTCTTAAGCTTTAATTTTGTTGTTGTTGTTGTTGTTGTTATTGTTGTTATTGTTGTTAGAACAAAGAAACAAAATCATGAGATCTTAGGTCACAAGAGTTTGAAGCTAATTAAATTTCCATCATTCTTTAGAGCCACTGTGCTTCGGTGTAAGGTCTCAATCTCATTACTCTTTATCTCTGGGTAAGGGGTACGTTAACATTCCAGGACATTCTCAAGCTCCTCAAGTGGTTCAGCTCACTCCATGAGGGAAGTGGGCAGCAGAGGGAATTGCTCCTGACTCTCAGCCAGACCCTTGGCTATACCGAATGTCCTCCAGATGGGAATGTCTGAATCTTTCTGTTGCTTCTGTCAGGACAGAAAGTAAAAGTTCATGGTGACATCTAGTTGCTTCTTTTTTAAGCCTAATTTGGGATATTAATAAAGAAACTTTGCCCTGCTTTTTTATAGTAATAAATATTCAAAAGTACACTTAAAAACAAGAAGTATTTTTTAAGTAGAAGATTTGCAGCAGATATATGCATTTACCTCTAATTGATATACAGCCCATCTTTGGAAGGACACAGAAAAAAAAAATTCTTATTGGTATCAGGGATTTGAGGCCCATAGAGGGGATTTTCTTAAGGACTTCCATGGCTTGCTTTGTTTGCCTTTCTCTTTGTCTGCTGTCTGTGTCCCCAACATTGTTCCTCAACTTTATCTCCAGGAAGTTACTGTCTCTGGCAGGCCCTTTTTCCAAGCTTTAAACTTTACCCATCTCCTTGGTTTCTGTGTCCCAGTCTCAGGGGACCTGAAGGGCTGCTTTGCTTCTTTGGTGCTGATGTGCCCTGCGACATGCTTGGCATCATCTTAACTCTTATTCTGAGCGGCTCCACAAGGACACGCACACTTCCACGCAGAGTGATCTTTGCCACAACTGTTTTGCAGCCGCCTCTTAATGTAACTCTCGTACCACATTTCGCCAGTGCCAAGAGGGTTAAAATTTAAAGTGCTTTGAAACCTAAGGGAGGGGGAGAGGGGGGTGGCAATTCTGTCTCAATGCAGGATCTTATTACCTGCTAGGATGCTGCTGAGTTAGTAACTTCCAGAAAAGACGGATTGTGGAGACGGGTTGTGGCAGAGTAACTGCGTGTCCCCTAGGGTCGAGCAAGAGCCCAGAACAGAAACAGGGAGTACTTACTTAGCATGCTGGACAGGAACCAGCTCTTGTCTTAGTGTTGGTCTGTCTTGAACCTGGTCTGCTAAGGAACTGAGTGTGGCTTCTTGAGCTCTATATTGACCTTGACAACTTGACTTCTCACTTCTCTCCCCTCTTCAGTAAACTTGACCTACCCTGGCCTTCTTACGGTTCCTTGACCACATCACACACCTATCTTCTACTTGAGAGTCTTTGCTTATGTTGTTCTCTTTGCCCAGAGCACTTCTTACTTTTCCCCTGGCAGGCTTCTTTTGCCCTGGAGCTGTTTACTTCAGTGACACTTTGTCGGACAAGCCTTCCTTGTCCACCTTCTCTAAAGTAGGTTCTCATCTGTTATGTATTAGGGCACTACTTTCTTCTCCTTTCTAACATGTAACAGTCTGCAATCATGCATTTATTTGTGCGTTGATATGTTTGATGGAAGTCATCTTTGACTGGAAAGAAACTGTGTTTGTTAAGCCACTGTTATGGCTTAAGCCATCAGTGTCTGGCTCATTGTAAATGCACATTGTATATTTGGCAAAGGAGTGAATGGAAGAATAGTGTGAATTTACTGGATTCTTTCTTAGCCTTCTCTACAGTGTGCTGATTGGTGTGATTGTGCTTGTCAGATCGTGGTGTGTCCTGAAGTGCTTCCTCAGAAGATGGTACCACCTGGAGTTGTTCAGGAGTCCCCCAGCCACCAGCTCCTGTCTGTGGACCCCCCATCTGAACAGGAGCCACAGAAGCCTCATCTTCTGGAGGAAAATGGTGAGGACCTACGATTCAGTGGAACAGATGGGGCTAGAGAGCGGGCATCCTGGTCTTATGGGTAAGCGGTATCTGTATGAGCGAGACTTTGGGCGGGTGGCCTTTCTGCATCTGGCAGCACTGTGAGGTTGGGAAGGGCTGGGGACCCAGAATTGAGTCCCTGGCATGCAGAGAGAGTGAGCTTGCAGGACGGCTAGGATGCGGTTCTGTTTGAAAGCTGTAATGCAGATGACGACAGTTCTAAGTACAGGCACTGTCAGAAGATCTACAGAAGTCTTTTACAAAAGTGTCATACTTGCTTTACAGCAGTTTTCCAACTCTGCACATGTTTTGTTATCTCACTGCTTATGTAAGAACAGCTCTCCAGTTTCTAATTGCATCCATTCATTTCTGGCTGCTCATTCACCCACCTTGAAGTCTTACTTCAAGCAGTTGCTTACCATGACCTGTAGAGCGTTTGTTCTCTCCTCTTTTTCTCCTTCCCTCCCCCCTCTCTCAATTTTATCAACTTGTATTAAACATGTGAAGAAAGAAAAGTGAACTGCCAAGTATCTTATTTATGGTATGTGTCCACAGGTCTATAACCTAACCAAACCCTTGCTATGAGATATATTTTAGGATTCAGAAATTTTCCGATTTAGTAAGGGAATATGACTTATATACCGTACATTACAGTACCAGCGGGATTTGAGGTGGGACTCCACAGTCACGCACACTAGTATTTCGCCAGTGAAATGTATATGTATTTACAGTAAGGGGATTAAATCCAGACTTTAAATAGCTTCACATCAGTTCTGGTCAGGTTTTTCTGTCAAATTAGTTCAGTGTCTACCTTACTGAAAGGAAGGCTTTTGGTATTTGGAGCTTTGGGATTTCAGAATTGTGGAGAAAAGTGTCATGAACCTGTATTTCCAGGTTTGGCCCCTGGCTTTCTTCTCGGCTCCCTCTAGTGATCAGGCCTTTCACTTTACATGCTCCGGGGCCCTGACCTTTTCCAGCTTTTCTTTCACTGTGGGAGTGATGATAGAAGCAGCAGCAGCAGGAATCACTTACGTTAGTGTTTACTACGTGTCTGCAAGTGTTCCAACTGCTTTACCTTTGGGAACTCATTAAACCCTCTGTTTACCAGAAAAAGTAGTCTTCACCATTTACCATCTGGGGCCAATGGATCCTTTTTATTATATATACATACACACACACGCCTATATACACACGCTTACATACATACGTATATATGTCATTTTACAGATCATTTACAGAAGAATCAAAGGCTAATAAAAAAATAATTTTAAGGAACTTTTAATGAGAACTGAACCTTTTTATATCAAGTACATTTTGGTAATAGAAACATAAAAAAATGAAAGACCACTGTCACACAATACTATCCCTTTAGCGAAATAAATACTGTCGCTTTAGCAAAGTGGGATGGTCCAGGGTCTTGTTGCAAAATCTTGGCCTGATGAAGTCCTTCCTGTTGAATAATTCGCTGGATGAGAATGTCATATTTCCTTTTCAAAATCTAGTGTTTATCGTTGATTCTTATGTTTGAGAAAAGTTACCTCTGATAGTATTTGTAGACTCCTTCGAAGATTTCCCCTCTGGGTTCAGTTTCGTCATTATTGTGTAGCGTGTACTTCTCTGTTCTTCATATTGTCTTCTTACTTCATCTATTAAAAGTGCAATGTTATCTGCTGCACATTTTCTTCTCTTTGCTGATATGGGTGGAAAATGAAAAATTCTGAATTTTCAGTCATCCTCAGTGAGAGCTAAAAACAGGCGTCAAAGTCTTATACCTTCTTGATGATGATGCAAAGCCCTGGGCAGTGAATTTAATACTTGGAGAATAGTGAAGAATGATGATTTATTTCACTATTACATCATCCTAAGTATTTCTTTTATTCTCCTCTATTTTCTCATTATTTTAGTTTGTTATGCTATCATTGGGAATAATTAATGAGTAATATTTAGTAAACATGTGGTAATTCATAGGATGATGAATTAGAAAAATGTTTTATGATACAAGGAAAATAAGATCACTCAGATCTCAAAATCTACCCTAAATGTGTAGGAGAGTCCAATGGATCCATATAGAAATTACAAGACAGAATGAGGTTTATTCTATTTTTTTTTAATGTTTATTTATTTTTGGGAGAGAAAGACACAGAACATGAACAGAGGAAGGGCAGAGAGAGAGGGAGAGGCAGAATCTAAAGCAGGCTCCAGGCTCTGAGCTGTCAGCACAGAGTCCTACGTGGGGCTCGAACCCATGAACTGCAAGATCATGACTTGAGTTGAAGTCGGATGCTTAACCAACTGAGCCACCCAGGCGCCCCAGGTTTATTCTCTTTTTTAATACTAAGATAAATTTTCATTTTGTTCTTTAGTAGACCTCTAAAGAAATAAGTCATGTAATTCTAGTCTTTAAAAATAGTTAAAACTGTTCAAAAAAGAAACCCCCAATCCCAAATTGTGTCTAATACACCTAGTTGGCATACCAAGGGTTAATGCTCGCACTAACCCAGTGGAATAGCTACGACTGTTACACTCATGTTAGAAATGAAGCAGCTGAAGCCTAGAAAGGTGAGGTAATTCTTTCAAGGTCACAAAGCTGTTAAGTGGCAGAGCTGGGGTTCTAACCCCAGCATTCAGCTCCAAATTTATACTTGTACCTTTCTGAGCTGGGCTGCCCTTGCCTTTCCACGAGTCCCTCCCAGGTGCAGACTCCTGTCCTCCGAAAATACTGTTCTCTTCCTTCTACTGGCAGCGTCTCATCACACCTTCTGTTCTAGGAGCTGCTTCTCTCCTCTGCCCTGTTAGCCAGACCCAGTGTCTTTTTTTTTTTTTTTTTTTTTTTTTTGGCCAGTGTCTGCCTTCTGACAAAATTGCTATGTTTGTTTTGTGTTTGTTTTGGTTTTTGATTTTTACACACTGGAGTCCTTATGCCTTTGAGAGCACCAAGGGCTGGTTTCCAGGCCCTGGGACCACGTTGAGCTTGAGAGGGGCGAAGTCATTTGCTTAAAAGCTAAAGAAACAGAAGCTTTCATAGAAACTTCATAAAATCGGTGTAGTTGTTTGGAATGTAATTATTATAATTATTCCAATTGTAATACTTAAAATCAAAATTGCTGTTTGAGTATAGACTACATTCATCCCTTTCTTCAAGTCTTACTTTGACTCTTTAGCCACACTTCTGGTTTCACATGCCATCTTGGTTTCTGGCTTTCATCTCTTAACCATTATGTCCTTTTTGTGTCATTGCCTATTACTTCCTAGTTCTTGGACGGAAGCAAGCTACATAAGCACATACATCTTTGGGATCAGGGAAACCATAGCAATGTCCAAACTGTCAGGCTGAAGGTTTATACTAGGTGAGTCTGTCCAAATCAGGGCATACATAGACAATGAGATCGTATGCACCATGAATCTTGGACAAAGAACAAGCAGAGGTGACAGCAGGGGGTCGGAAGGTCACCACCATCTAGAGATCAAATCCTCCAGGCATTGCACATGCAGTTCACTCTGCCTGGAAAGCACCCTCAACACCCTAACCATCCCCCACCCCCCGCCCCCGCTACTTCCCAGAGTCACTTCTGTGGAAGGGCTTTCCTGATGCTCCCACCTCCCACTCTCCACTCCGTAGGTGCCCTGCCTCTGTGCTTCTATAGGAACTTGGGTGAATTTCAAGTATAACACTTTTACCCGGAGCAGGAAGTAAGTAAGGTTTATGTGTCTGCATTCCCCACTAGACAGTGAAGTTTTTGGAAGGCAAGAATTGTTTTCTGCCTATTCTTATAACACATGACTTAGTGCACACTAAATGGCTATCAATCGACCTTGGTAACTTCTTGAAGGAAGAGAATGTGGGCTAAGGCCTTGCTGATGAAAGCATGGCCCAGGAAGCAGCGCCAGCATCACTTGGCTTTGTTAAAAGCGTAGAATGTGGGGGCCATTCCAGAACTTTTGAGCCATGTCTTCCCTGTACCAAGACCTCCAGGTGATTTTGTTTGCACATTAAAATTTGAGAAGCCCTGGGCTCTCATTAGTGTGTCAGCTTCACAAAGATGTGGGACAGGTTATTCTTTGAGATGACCAGATTTGATCTTGGCAGAGCAGATTGAATCCCTTATAGGTGAACAGCACAGTCTGAGGTCACCAGCAGGGATTAGCCTGACCAGAGCAGGGAGTCTAGTTTTTTTGGGGGAAGGGTCAGTGTCATTAGGTGTGGGAGGAGCCACAATGTAGAGGGTCTTGACAGCCAAGTAGAAACATTTGGCCTTGCTGCAGCAGGGCCCCATTGTGGATTCTTGAGCAAAAGTGGAACATGCTGGCAATTGGAACTGGGTAAAGATATTCTGACACCTCTTTTTCTCCCCCCTCAGCCCTACCTGCTCTCCAAGTTCCTCCCCTTCCCCTGAAGGACAGCCAGGAGCTGACAGCCTCACTTCTCTCAGCTGGGTCCCAGGTGAGCCGGCGTCCCAGTGCCCGCAGTGAGGACCTGTGTCTGTTCTTGGATGAGGAGCTGCCCTAATCCTGACTCTTTATCAGGAGTTCTGTCTCTCACTACAGACTGGGCCCATCTTGGGTTCCTACTTGAATGTCTCTTCCTGTTCCACCCCGTGTGCCCCTCTCCTCTTTGAAGCACAGTCCCTCCTCTGTTTTTTCCCTTCATGCTCCCACTTCTTCCCCTCACGCCAAATTTGCACATAGAGAATGGGAATTTAGTGGAGATCTCATGTTTCAGAAGTTGGTGAAAATTGAAGATGTGGCTGATGTGGCTGTATCCTTCATCCTGGAGGAATGGGGACATTTGGACCAGTCTCAGAAGTCACTCTATAGGGATGACAGGAAGGAGAATTATGGGAGTATTCCTTCCATGGGTAAGAATTATTTCATCTGCATGGATTAGGACATCTTCATTTTGTTACAAAGAGTATTTCTGGCACATCTTATAAAAGCATGTATGTTTTAATTACTATGACTTTGTTTATTTGTTTATTTTTTTCTGTGAAAGAGTAAATCAGTATTCCTGGTTTTTTGTTTTTTGTTTTTTCTTATTCAGCTTATTCTGATTATTTCCATCTCAATTAGGGTATGATTGAAGTCTGATGATACTTAGGGGATAGTATTTAGAATCCAGCAAATGTTCTCTTTTTAGTGCTTTAAAATAAAAGAGCTCAATACTAACAGGTTTTGCGTTTTAACAGATTTGTAGTAGTTATTGTACTCTATTCCTTGACAAATTGAATAATTCTAACTGCATACTTCTCACTTGCAAAAACATCTCAGACTTTGCTGAATGGCCATTTATTAGAATATATTTGACCCTTGAACAACATGGGGTTAGGCCCACCCCCCATGCAGTTGAAAGTCTGAATATAACTTCTGACTCCCCCAAAACTTAACTACTCAGAGCCTGTTGCTGACCTGAAGTCTTACTGCATAGTTTATGTATCATATACCATGTTTACTTCTGTGAAAGTGAGCCAGAGAAAAGAAAATGTCATTAAAATCATAAGGAAGAAGAAATACATTCAGAGTCTGTTTTTATCAAGAGAAATCCACGTATAAGTAGACCTGCACGGTTCAAACGTGTGTTGTTCAAGGCTCTTCTGTAGGTATTACAGTGACTTTTCTCCAAGGCACAGGTGGCTAGTTGTTCACTCCATTTCCATTCTCAGATCACTGGTGCCCATTTCATGATGTTCACCTTGGCATCTACATTTTACATGTCCCATCCCTTCTTGAATTTGTGTCCCAAATGAGATTTTGAACCTGTTCCTAAATGACGATCCTAGAAACTGATACTCATTTATGCTGCCTAGAGCATTATAAAAGTCTCAGCACTGTGGCAAGCATTTTGAAACTAACGGCTTTTCTGCTTTCGAATGAATTCTTTTAGAAGAACCACTATATATCAAGCACTCTAGTAGACTTTAGATGAAAGACATATATAATGCCAAATTTCCTTTTTTTTTTTTTAAAAAAAAGTTTATTATTTATTTAAGTAATCTTTACACCCAGCGTGGGGCTCACACCCATGACCCTGAGATCAAGAGTCACACCATCCTCTGAGCCGGCCAGGTGCTGCATATAATGCCAAGTTTCTTTTGAAAAGCATTATACCAGTTTATGTTGTCATAAGGGTTTTAGTTCACTTACAGGTTTTTATTTAAAAAGTAAAATTGGGGTGCCCGGGTGGCTCAGTTAGGCGTCTCCTTTCAGCTCCGGTCATGATCTCATGGTTTGTGGGTTCGAGCCCCACATCAGGCTCTCTGCTGTCCACACAGAGCCTGCTTCAGACCTTCTGTCTCCCCCCACAATACTCCCCCACGCCTCCCCTGCTCACATGCATGTTCTCTCTCTCTCTCAAAAATAAAAACTTTTTAAAAAGTAAGCAAAATTGACTTCTGCTCTTTTAAATTTTACATTTCTTCTAATACTAGTGATAAATATTTGTATTTCTTTGACTTATTTGTACTGGCCCTCTGTGGCTTTATCTGTTCACATCTTGGTGGGGGGTTTTCATCTCAAGGAATTATTTATGCGGCACATATGTTATATGTAATGCAAATACTTTTTCAGTCTCTTTAAATTAAATGCCTCACTTGTCTAATTTCAGTCTGGTAGTATCATTTTATCTTTTTCAGTTACTTTGCAGGGATTTAATGGGTTGGCAAGAGAGAGACAGAGCGTGAGTGGGGGAGAGGTAAAGAGAGAGGGAGACACAGAATCTGAAGCAGGCTGTAGGCTCTGAGCTGTCAGTACAGAGCCTGATGCGGGGCTTGAATTCACGAGCTGTGAGATCATGACCTGAGCTGAAGTTGGACGCCCAACCAACTGAGCCACCCAGGCGCCCCTATACAGTTCTTTTTTATACCATTCTCCAAGCAATTTTAAATTTGTACTTTCTGATTTTTTTAAAAATCTATTTGTTCATTACAACATATTTATAACTCTAGTATCTTCTTCTACATTAAGAACATGTTTGATGATTTCTGCCCCCTTAATAACATCTCTGGGAAGGCCTCATTAGATTATTTTCACACCAGTGTGTTCCTGATACTCTTGAGAAGGTCACGGGTTTTTTTTGCTTAATTTTTTAACGTTTATTATTTTTGAGAGACAGAGCATGAGCAGAGGAGGGGCAGAGAGAGAGAAAGGGAGACAAAAAATGTGAAGCAGGCTCCAGGCTCTGAGCTGTCAGCACGGAGCCCAATGTGGGGCTTGAACTCATGGACTGTGAGATCATGACCTGAGCTGAAGTCGGTTGCTTAACTGACTGAGCTACCTAGGCACCCAGAGAAGGTCAAGGTTTTAAAAGTATCCATCAGATCCAGAAATGAGATTTAAAAAAATAGATGTATCTTGGAAACAGCCATTTTGAGGAGTGTCAGGACATTGGGGAACAAAAGACAGTTTCTTTGTAGGTTGCAAAGGAATTTGAGAAAGCTATCATAAATAAACTTCCAAAAACATTGTGAAGGAAATGGGAAAGAGGGCTGATCAGTGCAAGAGTACAGGCTTAGATGGATACATTAGTTTTGTATGTTTTCTTTGTCAATGGCAGATTTTTTTAATGTTTACTTTTTAATGTTTGTTTATTTTTGAGAGAGAGAGACACACAGAGTACAAGTGGGGGAAGGGCTTAGAGAGAGGGAGACAGAATCCGAAGCAGGCTCCAGGCTCCAAGTGATCAGTACAGAGCCCGATGTGGGGCTTGAACCCACGAACTGTGAGATCATGACCTGAGCCAAAGTCGGACGCTTAACTGACTGAGCCACCCAGGTGCCCCTTTAATGTTTATTTTTGAGAGAGAGTGTACAAATGGGGGAGGAGCAGAGAGAGAGGGGGACAGAGGATCTGAAGGGGGCTTTGCACTGACAGCAGTGAGCCCAGCAGGAGGCTCAAACTCACAAACCATGAGATCACGACCTGAGCCAAAGTTGGACGTTCAGCTGACTGAGCCACCTAGGTGCCCCTCAATGGAAAAGTTTTAAGCATACTTAAATGCAACTGGAAAAGAACTAGGAAGGAGTGAGTTTGAAACATTGAGACAAGGAAGAACAGGTCATTGATGAGGGCAGTCCCTGGAAAACAGGATGGCATGAGGAGGTCCAATCCAAGATCCAGAAGGAAGGCTTGGCCTTGGCCAGGGAGAGAGAGACACCTCTTCTACCAAGAGGCAATGGGAGGGTGACAGAGGAAGGCTGCCAGCAAGTTTTTGATTGCGGCTGTAGGATGTTCAAGGAGCTCTGGAGTGGATAGCTTTGACTCTGAAATAGTCACCTGTTGAGAATGAGCAGGTGATGGAGGAAGTGGCGAAGTAGAGGTTCGTGTGCAGTGGAGAACTTTGGTTTGGAAAAGGGCGTACATGCACGTACTAAAACATTCTGCAATAGTATGAATGGGTATAAGGTGAAAAGTGAGTCACCTACTCCGATCCTCAATCTTTTGGTTTCCCTCAAAGAGGCAATGACTGTTGCCAGTTTGTGGATTGTATCTCTGAACATAGTCTGTGTATATGTGAGTTTTTGCAAAAATGATAGCATACCATACACACTACTCTACTTTTTAAGTAACAGTGATATATCTTGGGGGCCACGGTGGAGAGATATTTTGATGTAGCTGAAGAGAAAAATGATCAGGGAAAGGAGCCATCCTTAGGAATGTAGAATGCCAGACAGGGCACTGGTAAGGTTGAAGAATCTGTAAAGCACCAAATCTGCCTGATTGGGTGTTTTTGTCTACACCCCACCCCCCACCACTGCATTACTTACCAGCTGGGCATAGCACTGAGCGAGGAGCACAGTTCTCTGTCAAATACAGAAATAAATCAGGAGAATCAACAGAAAGCTTATCATGAATGTGGAGAAGAAATGGGGAAAGAGGAAAAAAGCAAATCTAAACCCATTTGTGTACCAACCCGTATAATCGCCTTCTCTGGAAAAGGGCAGTTCATTGTACCAAAGAGGTGTGTTGGGCTAGTCTGATTTTTCAAATTTGCCACTGGAAAAAGAAAGCCATGAGCTTTTTGGACTTGTTGGAAGGGAGAGAATTCTAATAATACAGTTAGCCTAAGCAGATGTGAATAAAAGAAAAAGTATTACTGGGATGATGGAGATTACCTGCCTATTTAAGTGGGCAGGAAAAAAACGTGTCAAAGGTCTGGTTTTGTGATAGAATTTGTTTTGATTATATGTTTGTGTCTACTATTAATGTGTTTTTTTTTTTAGGAAGAGAATTAAGTAAAAGGAGTTATAAGAAATTAAAATCAAAATTTTCTTTATGGTGTAAGAATTACAACTTCTCACTGTGTCAAAAAAGGGTAGTGATAGTATCTACCTCAAAAGGTCATTGTAAGGATTAAGTGCCATAAAATTGTAAAGCACTTGAAGGCACAGTGCCTGGTCCACAGTATGCATTCAGCAAATATTAGCTCTTATTACCATCATTCTGTAATATTTGAAAACAACTTTTCTGTTTATAAAAAAAAAATCTTATTAGAAAGCTCTTAATAGGCTATGATCTCTCTCTCTCTCTCTCTCTCTCTCTCTAGCATATAAAAAATAATATTCCCTGTTTTTTAATGATGGAAGATTTGTCTGTGCAAAGCATATTAAATGTCGGTGCTTCAAGTGAAGTGTAGGTTGCTGATCCAGTTGCCCAGGGACATGATTGCCATGTGTTCAGCATCTGTACTCACTAATGACTATTGGATGTTAAGCTAGCTTTTTTTTAAAAAAATTTTTTTTTTTCAACGTTTATTTATTTTTGGGACAGAGAGAGACAGAGCATGAACGGGGGAGGGGCAGAGAGAGAGGGAGACACAGAATCGGAAACAGGCTCCAGGCTCTGAGCCATCAGCCCAGAGCCCGATGCGGGGCTCGAACTCACGGACCGCGAGATCGTGACCT